GTGTTGTGACGTCTCGATTTTTCACTTTTCAACAAGAATCCACAAAATGGCGGATATCTTAATCGATTAACTATCGTAAATATCGATAAATATTTATGATTGATATCGTACAGAAAAGTAAGGGTATTCAGTAATAATATATATACCTTAAAATTTTGCGTAACGATTTCCTCAACCAGATTTGTTGCTGGTGTTTCTTCACCGCCAGTATTCAGATCTGGATATATATGTAGCGATTAATACTCGCCCTTCCTTAGCGCACCAACGCTCACAATTAAAAAATTACTGAATGCTTTCATACAATATTTTAATAATGTAGATAAACACAACATAAGTGTAGCCGTAGAGCATATACACTTGGTCCCAATCTGCGAATTATATGACACTTGTACATTTTTGGTATTAACGTAGGTTTTTACGTAGGATAAGCATAGGGGCCTAGTGTTGGCAAAAACTTGCGTCTTTTAAGGACGCAGTTGCGTCTATTCGGATTATTTCATTTTTTTTGTAGCTTCACAGAATATTGTTTACACCTATCTATAGTAATGACATAAAAAAAAAATAGTTTAAACAATCTAAATTTGCCGGATAAAAACTGTCTGAGGAAGAAAAAGGAAATATGCATACATATAAAACATATACATTGAACCTTTTTGTCAGCCCCTGAGGCCCTGATTTGATGATTTCCTCGTCATCAAACATATAAACTAAAAACTAAGAACCTATGCTTGCATCTCTGGCAAGATTCAAAATCGCACGACGCATCCTTAATGTAAACAGGCTATGAGCAGAACTGCGCCGAATAACAGGCCAGTCTGTCAACTTGGAACAAAGAACTTGGGAAAGCCATCTCGTGAAGAGATTAGCGGCAGTTCGCCACAGTAGCCGAGTTCGAGGAGATCGCGCTAAGTGATCTGATCGCAGCTATAAATGTTTAGCTGGGTTTCGCAACTGCTTGAAGGCAGTTCACAGCCTCCCTGATCGCTATAACTTCCACCTGGAATACGCTACAGTGATTTGGTAGCCTGAATGAGTGCTTTATGTTTAGCTGTTCAGAGACGATTCCTCTTATAACCCTCGTCAAGCTTCCATCCATCCGCGAAGATGTTTATGGCCCCATCTGGGCCTGGGAGTCCCTCGAGCCATTCGTCTCTGTGAGGGATGATGGTGATGAATGGAGTATCCGTGTACTCCTTTGAAACTTGATAGCCCGTTCTTGCTTGGACATTGTTGTTTTTATTTAGTGTCACTGTGGTTGAGGTACCCAATGTTCAGAGTCTCTAAGACGTATTGCTGCCATTTCTGCCCGCTCTTTTCCTGCAAGGTCAAGGCTCTGGAGGCATAACATGGCGTTTAGCGCATCATTTGGTGTGGTTCGAAGAGTTCCACTGATGCAGAGGGCGGCAGTTCTTTGAAGTTTGCCCAGCTGATTGGTGATTGTCCTTTTTGTTAGGGCAGATATTGACCATTGCCAGATATGTATATCCATAGGACTATGCTTGGGTTCATGCCCCACTTTAGGCCAATAGCTTTTTTGCATGTGTAGAGTGCTGTCGTTGCCTTCTTCACTCTATCCTTGACCTTCAGGCTCCAGTTAAGCTTTTTTTCAATTACCAACCCTAAGTAACTGGCACTGTCACTGAAGGAGAGCCTGTATACATTTGGTATTCGGGGGTTTAAGGGCGGGACCTTGTAATTATTTGTGAATAACACGAGTTCCGTTTTCGAGGGATTTATCCGGACAATCGAGCAAGCTTTGCGGTTATTAAGTCGCAGAGTGTTTGGGGGTATTTCCCCGCAAAGATAATTGCAACGTCGTCCGCGTATGCCACTACTTAACAACACTACTCTGACCACTGCTGCATAATTCTTGCAGTGGCTTGTGAAATTTTTGTATTTGGTAGCTCGTGTAACTTAACGTCTTAACAAAATAAACTCCTGCGGTCGTAGCTGATGGTAATTGCGGCAAGTTTTGTTGGATGACTGAGCTTCCAGCGGGGTTTTTTATTAGGTTAGGTAATTTTTTAGTTCTTTACAGACAGGTAAAAACCTCTAAGGTGAGCAGTGTAGCTTACACCACAGTTGCTTTTGGCAGATGGGTCCTCCCTATTTACGGGGCAAGGCTCAGTGAGATGTACATCCCCGCAGGCAACGCAGACTGCGAGAGGCGAACAAATCCAATAAATTTACGAAAATGTTCGTATAAGCATGTCGCAATTGCGTGACTTTTAATCTCATAAGGCACGGCTGTAACTAAATCAGCAAAGACAATTGGAACGAAGAGATATCCGAACTTATGTTGGCAAATCGAAACTCATATATAAATTCATACATCCGATTTCTTACTCGTTACTGGTACTCGCATTCGAGTAACAGCCTAATATTAAATATTTCTCTCATCCGAAAATGCTGATTGGTGCTATGTAGAGATTGTATGTGTAGCGCGTCAAGAAAAAAGCAACTAAGTGAAATTGACACCACCGTAACCAGAATGAAACTTGTTCTTAGAGTCAATTCTCACAATCAATTTTATTCATAAAATAACTAACATATGTTAGTTCGGAACAACAGAAATAGTTCACAATACTGCAATAAAAGGTTTACAGGGTCAGCTAGTAATATTAATAATAACATATATAGTATATTAATATATTAAATTTTCGTGTCACAAGTTTTGTAGCTAACCTTCTCCGAAATGGCTCGACCGAAATGGATCGACATATCGGTGAGGTCTGCGCATCGGCCGACATCTAATTTTCATCACGATCAAACCACTCCTTCGGGTACCTCCCAAACACCTATGTATGTCATTTTTTTGGGAAGTACCAGAAGGAGTGGTCTGATCGGGTCAAAATTTGGAGGGTTTTGACAAAATTTGATTCAGATTGATTAGTTTTAAGGCATTGCATCGTAATGAATAAAGGAAGTGATATGGCTGTATTTTTAATTAAAAATACTAATGTAAATCTGAAGCTGCAGAACCAGTAAAACCCAAGAAATTGTTACTACGATTACCAAGAAAAATCTCGCCAATCTGAGCCAACAGCTTTTCATGTAAATTTGACTTCATGAAATTCAAAGAAAATGTTTTGAAAAATATTAAATTGAATACAACTTTTTCATACACATATGAAATCCCAGTAGACTGAAACAAAAATTTGGTCCTGTGGTATGAATATTGTGATGAAATCATTATCATTCACCTCGGAAGCGAAAACATCTAAAAAAGGAGGACGTAGAGGACCAACAACGCCAACAATTTCATCGAGCATTTACATCACTTTTTTTTCGACTAACATTCCAGAATGAGCCTGATGTTGAATATTATGATCATTCTAAAGTGGTTATTGTTAAAATTTAAATTTAAAATCAAATATAAAAATGAGCCTGTTGTGATGTGTTACTCATCAGGAAAAGTACAAATAACCGAAACTGAAATACCACCTGAACGGGTTACTTATCGGTACAGATCCCGATTCTAGCATGTTCCTGAAGCCAATTCGCACATTCAATTCATGTTTCCAAATGACATAATTTGGAGCAACAAAAATAGTTAACAATATTACTGCAAACGGTCTACAATTTAATTCCACGTTCAAAATCATAGGCCAAGTTTATCACCAGTTTTATCAGCCAATCCCAAAAGAATTTCATAAATTTTTACAAATAAACTTTCTGGGTGGCAAGGACTTTGAACGTGCACTCGCCAATCACGTAGATGCACGTTGCGACTATCATAATTTCAATTCAAATTTTGCCAGGCGTATCGTATTAAAAGAGCAAAATGAATTATTGGAATTATTCAAATCACACATCCACAAACTAGAAAGGGACAATCACGCTATTGTCATCAATCCTGATAGAACACCAGCTCGAGAGCTTATAAATACGTAGATTCAATGCACCTGTTGTTGACGACTTTGCTGAAATCGTGGTTGGCGACCTTACAGCTACGCGACAAATCGTGAATCGAAGAAGAAATAATGATCTTCAGTTTATTAGTCATACCCATCGTTCATATGACGAAGTAAAAAATTAAAGAAATTAATTGGCAAAACAACGTTTTACTCTGTAAAATATATATACAAAAAACTAAAATTAAACTTAATTTTTGTATTGGAATAAAATAGAGTGAAACGCCTTTAGTTCATACTGTTTAAATTAATTTCTGTGAACTTTTTATCGATCCAGTTCAAGTGTTTTTTTTTTTGACCGTGAGAAATCTGCTGCTGCCATGCAGTGTTGCCAGATTTTGAGAGTCACCATAAGTAGATTGAAGAAAAAAATAAGCTAGAATAAGCTATAAATTAAAAAAAGAAGCTTAAAAATAAGTTGACCATTAAAACACATCAAAATAATAGATAATTGATATTTTTTTTTAAATTTGTAATTAAAGTAATGATGTATGATGCTCAGCAATGTACAAACAAAGTGAAATTATGGACTTTATTCATAAGACACTTTCGGCTTTTTTGTATGTAAATGTGCAAACATGTGCAATACTGCAGTGTGACTGAAATTTATCAACGATAAATTACCATACATTTATACACAAGAATGGATGAACAACGAACAACAAATATGATTGTTGTCCGGTTTCTCGATAAAAAATTAACAAATATAATACAATAAAATATAATGTAATATAATATACAATTTTTTTAAGCCAAAAAAATAAATGAAATTTGAAATAAGCTAGATTTTATGCTATAAGCATATCAATTATTTTTCAAGCTATTTGATTTACAAAAAAACGAAGTTCCGACCAACACTATTTTGGCTGAAAAAGGAAAAATACACAACACTAGAATATGCGTATGTACACACACAAATAAAAAACAAACAATTCTTCGACTTATTTAATTTATATGTTAAAACATGATGTTACAATCATAAAAAATTTATATTCGCACCATAACAACTACAAAAGACCTTTAATTAAGTCATCATTTAAAAGTCATATGTGTATTTTGGAGTTATCCAAATTCATGTGTCTCATTTGATGTCGACTTAACTTGATATAAGCTCCAGTCCAGCCATATTAAAATCAAAAATGGATACATTTGATGTGTCAGATAAGAGCAGGTAAGCAGCGACATTCAAATGAAATGAACTGTACTTTTGTAAATATTAATCTAAACATAGCACTGTACATATGTATTTATTATATATGTATGTATGCTACGATATTAACATGTATGTATAACTAAGACATTCGATTAAAATTACATTTGTCTCGAGTTTACAGCTGGTACTTTGGTCCAATGTCCCGGCAAGACGCTACCGAAGTATTAATGAACGAGCGTGAACGGGGAGTATTTTTAGTGCGTGACAGCAACTCGATAGCAGGAGATTACGTACTCTGTGTAAGGTAAATTAATAAAAGATTTACAAAAAAAGACCATCATGAAACTGTTAATTATTCCCCTTTTTAATTTAGAGAAGATACTAAAGTTAGCAACTATATAATCAACAAAGTTCAACAACAGGATCAAATAGTGTATCGCATTGGTGACCAATCGTTTGATAATCTGCCAAAACTCTTGACATTTTACACACTGCACTATTTGGACACCACACCACTAAGGCGGCCAGCCCAAAAAAAAGTAGAAAAAGTAGTTGGAAAATTTGATTTTGTTGGCAGCGTGAGCATTTTAAAATTTTGTCAGCATTCCACAGTTTTTATCTTACCCTCGTTTCTCAAAGGATCAAGACGATTTGCCTTTCCAAAGAGGAGAAGTTCTTACTGTAATCCGAAAGGACGAAGATCAGTGGTGGACTGCACGTAATTCATCGGGCCAAGTTGGACAAATACCGGTTCCTTATGTGCAAAGGGTACGTATTTGCGTATACAATATATGATGAAAAGTTTAGCTGCAGCTTATTTATTTTTTGCCAGTATGAAGACGCAACAGATGAGGACGGATTCGATAGCCAAGTTCTTGGACACCCGAGTTCTACTATCGGACGATTGAATAATTCATCTGACCCGCCAACAGTCTCTTGCAATCTGTTTGGTAATACGTTAAAACGGACAGACCTAAACGTAAGTTTTATGATTAAACCATACAATGAACATTTATTTGTAACTATGTATTCACTAGCGCAAACTGCCAGCGTTCGCTCGGGTAAAACAATCGAGGGTGCCCAATGCATACGACAAGACTGCATTAAAATTGGAAATAGGTGACATTATTAAAGTCACTAAAACTAATATAAATGGCCAATGGGAGGGTGAACTAAATGGACGCAAGGGCCACTTCCCATTCACTCACGTTGAATTTGTCGATGATTGTGATTTAGGAAATAACTGTGGAGAGGTACGTTTAAATAGCGCCAGTAACGATTGGGTGGAACAATAATATTTTCATTTTGTATAATTTTTATTTAAATTTATGACAAAATGTATCAAGAAATAACAGTAAGTGGTGCATACCAATTGTTAATACATATATTTAAAATATTTAATAAACATATTACAAACCAATGCAACTTTCTGGCTCAGATCAACCCAATCAAATTATTTATTTCACAATAATTATGTATGTACATATAACATATATCGGACAACGTTAAAATGGGTGCTGGGATACAAAGAGAAATAGCTTTGCAACACTCTTCCCACGCGGCATTCCGTTGGTAAAAACTGTCATACTCAGTTCCATCTCAATGTCCTGTGGCCCCTCTAGGGATCTTTTAAGTAATACATTGACTTGGTTGTTGCTTTTTAACGTACTGTATTAAAGAAAATAAAATATGAATAAATTAGTTTTAAATTTGACCTTTAATATAAATCACAGTACAGCACCAAAATTCCGAATAAATTACAAATTGAATACTAACTCGAAATGGTTTTCAGTTGCCCTTTCGATGTTCATCGAAGCTTGGATCCTCAAAATTTTGAGGTCAAAATCTATATTGTCATACCACATTGGACCACGTAGAGTAAAGATCGTTCGACCATCCGGCGGTATCATCAATTTAGATACAAAAGTTATAAAATTGTATGTATAAGCTGAGGGTTTTGTGTAACAATCTTCTCCTTCACAAAAGTTGCTGTTTTGACGGCACCGGCTGAAAGAGATAAATTAAAAATAAAGTTTTTTAGATCGTTTTTAGTCGACGACTTTCGCAAGTGTTATTCTGTTCGTCTAACTTTTATTTTTGGATATCAGTAAATTAATTTCAATCAAAAATCCATACAAATTTTTTGTATCGCATTATTTTTAAAATCATACTTCTGTAGTTATGTTTAAGTGTTAGGTTGAAGTAATTTAAAAAATTTTTGGTTAGCAATAATTATACTTTAAATTTATTTTCAATGTACTTATCTGTTCTGTGGCCTTACTTTTTTTGCTCTGGGTCGTTGCTATATCCAGCAATACAATTAATAGTAGTACATTTAAAGCTTCCTCGAATATTTGTGCAAATATCGTTCTTAAAAACCAATTAAATATTTAAAAAAGCGATTTAATGAAATCTATATAAAATTTAGAAAATTCTTCATATATAAATGTTCTTATCGAACAAACATACCCGACCAGTGCATACATGATTGACGGAATCAGCACATTCATCAATATCGCGGCATGTATTCATGTCTGAGGCCAGAGTGTAACCACGAGGACAGGTACATTGGTAGGATCCAGCAGTGTTGATACAAAATCTGAATAATAGATCACATGGTTTGGAAGAATGTCTAGGCAAATTGTCGACAATTCATACCCCATACACAGCTTATAGTGCTTGTGAACTTCACATTCATCAATATCGTTGCATGTGCGGTTGTCCTGTCCCAATTGGTACCCTGAATTGCATGTACATCGATACCCACCCCAGAAGTTAACACACTTTTGCTGGCAAAGACCCGGAATAACTTGACACTCATCCACATCAAAGCAGGCCGTGTTACTGTCGTCACCGTCGCTTGTCTTCTTCTGGAAACCTGACTTGCATTCACAATAAAACGAGCCAATGGTATTAAAGCAATGAGCATTCGAAGGACACACACGTTGATCGCGCGCGCATTCGTTTATATCCTGGCAGGTGCTGACGCCATTGGAAATATGTTTTAGCTCATGACCGGTCGGACAGGCACAGATGTAGCTGCCGTTACGATTTCGGCATATTTGTCTGTCGCCACAATTGTGCTCGCCCGTCTCGCACTCATCGATATCTGTGTTGATAAAAATCTAATTTGGCTTGGGATATATGCTTTTTAAAACATCCCACGTACCAATGCAGGATGTTCCTTCTGGCGTTGACTTATAGCCAGCCTTGCACTGCAAAAGGCTTTCGCAGCGGAAATGACCATTGGTGTTGATGCAACGCTCATGGCTACCACAAGGATTCTTTTCAAAACATTCGTTTATATCTACATATGTAAAAAAGGGAAAAGGGTATAGTTAACATTTCCATCCACAGTACAAATATTTAATCGCGGTGATGTCAAAGCTGAGTTTCATATCCGCCAAATGGAATTTTTTCAATTTCAGAAGGGCCCCTTCATATATTCTGAAACACATTTATTTATGTTACTGCTGACTTAAGGCGGGTTGATAGTTCCGATCATGGTCTCATATGGATTGCCCCGTCAGTTAACTGTATAAATATTATAAATTACTAGGTGACTCGGCAAACGTTGTTTTGCTAGTCGAAGAAATAAATTTGATGTAAATGCTCTAGCGTTGTTGGTTAATTCCTCTACAGCTGTCGACTATGTATCTACGCGTTACTCTCCGTCCTAGTTGCCTTTGTTGATTTCGTTTATCTCTGGCCTCTTGCGATTGTGATTCACGTAACCGCGCCATGCTCACACTCTCATCTGCATTGTTTTCTTGGATTTGTTCACCTGAAATTCTTACTCTTATATCTCGTATGGTTCTAGACTAGATCGTTTGACGACTCAAATTGGTCCCTCTGCTTCTTATTGGCATGGCTCAAATATATTAAATTTCTGGGTTACAATGTTTGTTATTGAACTTCTCCGAAATGTCTCGACCGATTTTCTTGAAATTTTATGTGCTTTCGATTATAAGTTTTTTTTTTCGATTTTTTCGCTTCCGAGGTGAAACGAATAATGATTTCATCACAATATTCAAACCCTAGGACCCAATTTTTGTTTCGGCCTACTGTGATTTCATATGTGTATGAAAAAGTTTTATTCAATTTAATATTTTTCAAAACATTTTCTTTGAATTTCATGACGCCACATTTACATCAGATGCTATTGGCTCAGATTGGCGAGATTACCTCGGTAATCATAGTAAAAAATTTCTGGGTCTTACAGGTGCTTACGACGATGGATAAAACATTGTCAAAACATAAGGGCGTGTAAAAAAATTATTCATACCAAATCTTGATCCGATCAGACCACTCCTTCGGGTACCTCCCAAACACTATGTCCTTTTGTTTGGGAGGTACCCGAAGGAGTGGTCTGATCGGGATGAAAAATAGATGTTGCACACAACATAGCACACAAAATTTCACGAAAATCTGAGGAGTTCAGCCAGAAAATTTGTAACACGAGAATTTTATATATTAGATTATATTATATATTAAGTTTTAAGTATGTATGTAATGAACTGAAAGCGAACATGAAGGAAAGATACCTGTTAAACTGATATGCGAGGAAAATTAGAACTAAACATTACTAGTAGAACTAATTACGAGAAAGGTACATATAATAGAGATCTTCATGGCTCCATTTAAAAAATAAGTAAGTCTAACAGTATTCGAATGGATGTATTCGAATTTAATTGAGTTGAGTGAGTGTGTATAGCTATACCCTTACTCAAACTTTATCGCCGTAGCATTATACATATTTCACTCAATTGATTGTAAGTATTGTCAATTCGAATTCCGGTTTTTCTTACCACTCATGCAGAACTATAATTTATATTTACCGACACACGCGCCAAGATTATTCCTGTGAAAGCCAGTGGAACAGGGTAACCGATATATAGTGGAGCCATAGTAGCCCTGCTGAGAATTAAGTGGATAGGGATATTGGGAATAGTGAGTTCTTGAAACTGGCTCCTTGAACGTAGGTGCAGCCGTTGTTGAAGTAGTTGATGTTGTGGTTGTTGTGCTTGTTGTTGTTTTCCTATAGCAGCGAAAGGATCCCTTCGTGTTGTAGCAATCGAAATTCGGCTGGCAGTTATGGGTATTGAGTGCGCATTCATCATCATCTTCAAAGAGTAGATTTAGTATCGGATTCACGATTAGTTGTGATTTTTAATATTGGATATATTTATATCTCTTTATTTATAATAATATTTATTTATTTATTTATACAATTTATATTGGTATTTAGTGTAAGAGTTTTAAGTTCTGGAGTGGTTTTTAATGATAGCACCTTTTACAAAAATTAAATTTTTTTCGACGTTGTGAACCAAACGTTGTGATAGATTTGGGTTCTAAACATATATGCACCTTATTTAATGTCGTCATTTGAATATTGAATATAACTTAAAAACCCGCCGATGTTAATATAATTAATTTGGCTCTCTATTGATTTGGACTAGTTATTAAGTGCCAAGAAGAAAACATATTAATTTTTCGATTTTTCGAAGACATAATGAGCCAACATCCACAGATAATGAAACAATCGTCCAAATCCAAATCAATTGTAAAGGATCTAATTTCAAAACGAGGGGGAACGTTGTGAGTTGCTGTTGGGACCGCAACTCTGCATAGTCGTATGGCTCTCCTCCGCCGAACGACAAAGATTGCGTGCAAGAGAGACAACAAATTAGTTAGAACGTAACACTTGTAACAGTGAGATCTGGCAAGAGTTATTTGTGAATTTTTGCAGGTTCGATATTACACGAGTGGATACCAAATTTGGTCGCTCTAGCTCTTATAGTCTCTGAGATCTAGGCGCTCAGTTTTTTCGATAGGTAAAGCCGACCATGAAACGTGCGTGTTAGAGAGAGACAGAGCGAGAGAGAATGAAATTGTTTTCTTCATTCTGGCTTTAATAATGAACGATCTGGTTCAGATTCTGCAGTCTAGAAGATATCATTCTCTACGATGCTGCGTTTTCTGGTTTTCTCGTATCTTATGCCACATATCACAGAATTCTGATATACAAAATATAGTTATCTAGCTCTTATAGCACTAGGCGCTCATAGACATAGACATACGGACAGACAGACATGGGTCAATCGATGATCGCAAACAACATCAAATATAAGCACCTCAGAGCAGTCCTATAGCTTTGCAGGTAAGAAAGAAAAAATCTACTACTCAATTCAAAAACAGTACTATACATAAACAAAACTCCTGAAACACATTGGTAAACTCATACCGACCAATATCGCTCAACCCGTGCATAGCTGAGGTTCTAGGCAAGATCATAGCAAATCGACTATGATGACTAGTTAACAACATCAAGCTCCTCGAGAGTCAGCAACTAACCCTGTTACACTACCAGAGCACTGCAGTACTGTCCTTCAGAAGCCATCTTGAATAGCCTTGATTTTGAAAAGGCATAGACAAATTGAATAGGTGGAGAATAGACGCCAAGGTTCTAAACTACGTTTAAAAAATTTTCTTACTAATCGTAAAACTCGTTAAAATCAAAAGCCAGTACTCAGAATATAAACCACTCCACAATGGTATTCCGCAAGGATCAGCTTTATGAGTCATAAACATCCTAATGGCCTATAATAAGCTTTTCAATACTATAGAGGTCCACAAAGGTTTCCAATTCTTTTCAAATGCAATCGTAAAAAAAGTTAACAAGAAACTAAACACGGCTAACATAAACCCCATGTTCACACACTGGTGCGATTATTCAGGGGCAAAACTATTACTCCGCAATCAGAGATCAGAGATAAATAAATAAAGAATACCTCATATGTACATAAATATAGATATTGTAACGAATGGTGATTAAGTGGGTTGACTTTTGTCTTTGCTTTTATAAAGTCTCTCTGTTTAGTAAAAATACTCTCTGTTTTATATGCTCAACCCGGAAAATACGAACCGTATAAACGTAACAATAAGATAATGATTGCCCGAAATTTGAAGGATCGGATTATAGAACCAATAAGTGGGTTGCAGCGGACATTATAATTAGATACTAGATCTGTTTGGATTTCTTACCATCGCAAATTCCTGTTTCAGCGTTTAATGTATAGCCCGTTCCGCAACTCTGAAGACGCTGAAAAACAAAAAATAATTAAATACACCTTTAAGAAATAATAAATGAATGTGTAGATACCATGCAAATATATGAACTTTGTGTGTTTTCCAGACGGAATAATTGTATTGTATGGATATATAGATATAATAATAACAATATATATGATATTCATATAAGAAAGTTCAGACAGGCGCTCATTATATCTAAAGCTATTGCCCTAATGTGGTTACTTCCTCTCTTAAAGATACATTAATTACACATTAAAAATTTCCTTTATGAGTATTCCTTTTTCTTTAAAAGCTATGCTAATAAACTCTGTTTCAGTCAATATCGACATGAGTTGTTGGCTGATGCTGATCTTCCTCGTCATCCTCTTCAGTTATCACCCGCTCATCCTCTTCGTTTTCGTCTGTTTCGTAATATGTCGTCTACTTGCCGACGACTGCGATTCTTGACGTGCGTGCTTAGCATATACTTATGCGCGAAATTCTTGTTGCACAAACGGCACTGGAAGTGCTTCTTGCCTGTAAGTTATAGGGAGTTATGAAGCCCTTCTGGCAGTCGGGTATCTAGCAGATGTGCAGGCGCTTCTTATTCTCGCCATCGGTGCAATTGCGGCAGGTGCAATCCACACGCTGTCTGCGCTTTACCTCCGTCCCCGCTACCGCTCCACTGGTATCCATGCTCAAGTCTCATCTGGGCTGGTAATGGCGGTGGTGCAATTACCGCGGTAATGGTGGTGAGCGCGATCGCTGTAGCTTGAAATTGCTGGTGCACCTGCTGCTGTCTACTAATTTGCACACTGAATCGGCATCTATCCACGCATCCACGCTCGAGTTCAACACAGAATGACAATGACCCAATGGTGGGTAAGGCCGCCACTTATGACTCGGTGAGTCCTCCAGCTGGTCCAGTCAATGCTATTGCTGATTTTACTGACGAATTTACTTACCGTGCAAATATATGAACCGATCGTGTTATCACATCTTTGAGTTGGTAGGCAGTTGTGATTGTTAATAGAACACTCATTAATGTCTGTACAGGTAGGCAAGTGTGTATTGTAAGAAAATTATATAAGAAACAATACTGAAAGTCGTACAACATACCTACGCACACATTTTGAGTAGTATCCAAACGAAACCCTATCTGGCATTGGCAGGAAAAACTGCCTATAGTGTTAATACACTCCAGAAGATGAGCATGGCAGGTGTGTGTTCCATTATTTTTGCACTCGTCTATATCAGAGCAAGTGCCCTCCTCGAGATAAAAACCTATTTCGCAGGATTGACTCTCAGCTGAGGTACAGTTAAAGCCCCCGGCGTGATTGGAGCATTGTTGGTCAGGTTCACATGGCGGCGGCGACTCTTCGCATTCATTGTCATCTACATAAGTATAAGTATAAGTAATAAATATATGACTATAACTATAATAAATATGTATTGTTACATGAGGCAAAGGAGACAGATAATTAGTTTATATTTAAACAGAGCGACTTTATTTCCAAAAGAATTTGGAAAGTCTAGTCTAGACAAGACTAGATATTTCAAATATATTCCGGCATGACAACAATAGTCAGCCGCCATTCGTTACAGTAACTTAAAAGTGACGCTGAAAAGTACATCACATCATTTTTAAGAACATTTTCGCTTTGAGAATAAGCACTAACAGCGCGAAAACTGTGTTTAATTCCTATTCCTATCACTCTTCAGCGTTACATAAGGTAAAATATAAAGACATAAGTTTAGCAGGACTCACCTTCACATTCTAGTTCGTTAGCATAGTGATATCCTGATGGGCACTTGTTGAATTTTATATTTAGACAATGATAGCTGCCAATCGTATTGTGGCAGTACTGGGTCAACGTGCACTCATGAAGTTTCTCGCTGCACTCGTCAATGTCAACGCACTTGCCATGGTGCTGATCCATATAGTATCCATCGGGACATATGTTATTTTTCACCGATGAGCATGTAACGTTGTTGTTGTCTAGTTTAAATCCTGAGTGGCACTTACATTGATATGCGTCAAATGTATTCTCACAGATGTGAGCGCACAGGTTTGGAATTTTGCCACAAATGTCGTCTATATTTTCAATAGAGAAACAATCAGTTGAATTGTTTTCCAAGGAGCCGAGCAACCACTTGAGGCTTACCATCGTCTGTTAGGACTATCGTACCATCGGATGAATTCTCAAGATACTCTTCAGGACCCATGTCGCCTTCTATTTGTTGACTTACATTAAACATTTCATCGGATTTTGAATTTAAATTACTGTCTTCGTAACAGCAAGTCCGATAGGATTCAATAGCAGAAAGAAATGAAAATAATGGATCACTGCAGTTCTGTTTACTTGCCTTAACTGCCAAGCCAACTTGACACGCTCGACAACAGCCCGCATAGGCATTAGAGTTCGAATTGACCTCCGTGTCACACCGCGTTCTGTTTAAAGCAGCCAATCGACCCAATTCACAATTCTTGTGGTCTATTTCTCGGGAACAGCACACTTCATAGGTGGAATGACATAGTCCAAGCCACAATGGCGGTATAATGGATACGGAGGAATCAATATTTCCACAGGACTGAATATCCATAGTTCGTGCATGCCGAAGCCCACTTATGCAACATTTTCTAATATAATCGGAAATGTTGTCTATGGAAAAAAAAGATTTACTTGAACGTTTAACTAAAATAATAATAATAATAAAAACGAAATAATAAATACGGGAATATGAAAGCAAAGTATTTGAGTTGTTAGACTAATTCCTAAAATGTAAACACGTATTTATGTACAAAAACTTAACTGATTTTTTATTTTAATTAAACGAATACAATACTATGCAGTAATAATTATTAATACTTACTTATAATCTACTTACCGCTTGCCAAGGTTTCTGCGGCATTGTGCCAAGCCATCATTGTATAAATAATAAACCATATTTTTCTAATTTTGATCGAAGTAATCATTTTAGCCGGTGTTTTTGTATCACTGACTTCATTAACGTGCCACAAAGGAAGCGTTAGGAAGCTGTTTACGACCTGAACAAACCAGACAATAATGGAAAATAAGAATGAATATTGTGCGCGTACGCTTGTCCACATTGCCTCAGACACTAGCACTAGCACTGGCACATGTGCAGCCAGTGATTCTGAAGCTACATCTATATTGGGATTAGCGTAGATAAAATTCTAGAACAAAGAATAGTTCGGTCTTGGCCTCGGGTGAACGGAGGGGGAGTGTCAGGGGCCCCCCGTACACATGCTCGTACATACATACGTACATATACATACGAGTATGTACGTGCATATACATCAGCTACATACGCTAATATTTATACGCCCTTATGTACGTATGTATACATATTTACATAATTTTATACTCTTTTTTTACCACCAAACCATAGGGTGAATAGTGGAGTTCAAGGCTGAAATTTTATCTCGTCCCGGCAGTACCTTCAGGAAAACCTAAATACATACATTTTTTATAGATATGCAAATATTAATATATATTTATACAAGCGAATAAGCAAATAGTAGCCCAATCTTAATAAGTACACATGTATGTACATACATATCTCACTATCAAAGGCAGATAACTGCACTGAGGAAAATCTGCATAATTGTCTTCTAAATAATTTGAAGTAAAGCAAATTTAAAATGCCATAAAGTCGTACATAGTATTTTTTTAAATGTTTTTTTGTATTTTTTGCATTAAGCCTTGAAACTCATTTATAATGTAACTGCAATTTGTTTAATAGCACTGCCCTTCCTTTATTGACACTATAGCAGATTTAGATCCATTACCGTATACGTTGGCAGGATTGCATATGGTGCTATTGATGATCATGTTGACATCACCCCTTAAAATGCGGAAATTTATTTCTGAATAGTCCAGCTGGCTATATAAGTAAATAGGCAAGCGATTGCTCATTATCCACACGCTTTGAGTTTCTCCTTCGTCTACTTTCAAATCATTGGGGAATTGAATGAGCGTTGAGGAGACATCCGGATCGAGGAGCATTCCTAAATTGGCCCGCGTGTATGGTTTGGCTGTATCCCAGCAACCAATGTTATCTCGATGAACTTGTGTATAGAACATTACACCATTTCTAGCAATTCCAGATGTGGAGGATTGACCATTGTATCCGCGATCGCCAATTGAAAAGAAATATTTTGCGTTATCCTGACTATTAATTTCCCATAAAGATTCGGTTAGCAAGAGCTCGGTCGATACTATAAATTCCTAATAAAAATGAAATATAGAAAATATTGGGTAGTGTTATTCTATAGAAAATGTGAATTCTACATTGTATTTGTGTTGTTGTTATTCACGGTAATCGAAAGGATATAGGGATACATTAGGGATATATTAGTTTTGTGGTGGAGGTGTGTAACACTCAGAAGAAAGCGTTTCCGACCCCATGAAGTTTATATATTCTTGGTCAGCATCAATAGCCGAGTCGATATACGTAGCTATGCTAGAGCACAAAGGACGCCCCCACAAAGGACGAAAATATGTGGCATCTACAATTTTAAAGATACAAGAAAACCGAAAACGAAGAACCATATAGAATGATTATATCCAGAAGAGTGCAGAATCTGGTTTAAATCCTATTACGCTACTCAACAAAATTGAACTTTTTTTCGACGCTGTGAACCCAACCGACTACGCAACCCCCTTCGACGTGCCAACGGAGGGCGAAGATTAAAGATGCCTGGATTGATGATTGCTGATTTGCTTTGCTTATTTACTTATTAGCAGTAATATTTATTCTGGTAAGAGCTGAAAAAGCCTCTGCAAGGGTATACAGTGGTGCTCATACACTTAAGCCACAAGAACTACACCAAGAATTTAAGCGAATATCAAGAAAAGTTTTTATTTTACAGCTCCTATTTTTTGTCTCAAATTAGTTCTATATGTCAGTGATTTAATACAACAACAACCAAGTTATGAAAACATATAGTCAGCGAAATAATTGATAAATCTGAAATCATCTCCAAAATATCCTGCTCATATACTTAAGCCACCTCAAAACAAATGGTTAAAAAAGTTAAAATTTGCCCAGTATTCCTAGTATTTTTAATAAAACTACTTTAATATTTTGTAGGATGACCTTTCTATGGAGAGATGTCTCTAATTGCTTACCTTAAAACTTGCCATTGGATGGAAATAAAGCACACGCTGCTTACTTTGATGATCATAAGATATACTCATCCCAAACACACCATCCAGCCATTGAAAGTTCAATCCATATATCTTAAAGTCGGAAGCCACTGGATTTGGTGCAAAATTGTAGTTAGTTACTCGCCAGCTTCTATTTTTCGCCAAGCTATAAACAATAAGACCAAAACGCCATACGTCTGCTACAATTGCATGTGCGTCTTCGCAATGATTACCCACTTCAACAATGATATTGGAGTGCAGAGAATCCTCTTTAACTTGCGATTTAGGCAAGTCATAGCGAACAATCGTTTTGTCTGCGTTTAGATCAAAAGCTACTATTTTTGGCGGGCAAATTTGATTTATGTTAATTGTGGCGTTGATAACACCAGAATCAATAAGCCAGAGTCTGTTACATGTGTCTACGGTAGTGCGATATACCGATATCAATTTAGAACAGTCTGGATTATATGGATTTCCATGAGCTTCCCAATTGGGATATGGTTTAATTGCTGGACTTAATTCCCTCGTCGGGAACGGAATAGTACCCAAACTTGCGGGTACGCCGTCTTTCCAACGAGGCGTAGTAATAAATAATCGGTTTTTATGTACGTCAATGCCCAAAGGAAGATTATTCTTCGGTATAAAGTCTCTGAGGATAAGATATATGTACATAAGTAAAATTTGTGGCTGATGAATTGGAAGCAATTAAATGAATCTTTAAACAGAGAAGCAGGGACCGCTATCACTTTATTTTTAGGTAAGAAGTATGAATAGACTTATTGGCGTTTGTACAAAACTTTCTGAGGACAATTAAGTTTGGGAAAAATGTTTTGACATTGATTTTTTTGTTTGATATGGCCAAATCCGACATTTAGGAGAATTTAGAAGAAAAATGGTTTTTTGTTAAGTTTCAAACTGAATTATAGATTTCATAGAAACAGATTGGCGGTTAGATAGTATGGTCTATCTAACCAGTCTAGTCTAGACGCTGATCAAGATGGACTAACGGACCTTGGCTTTACTTTTTTTGGGTCACAGCTCCCTTCTTCTCTGTTATGCAAAAATGAGCAAACTCATAATAAGCTCCGCAAGGTTATAATGAAACAATTTATATAGATTACCCATTCATAATTGCTCGTTGGCGTTCGACAAAAGTTGGATATTCAAAGTCCAAATATTTCCACTCATTTACAATCTTAAGCTGACTTTCACGAATGGAGCTCTGCTTTTGAGAGTTCGACTGCATTAAATAGCCAAAATCTGCATTAAATGATTCAACAAAACTAACACTATTGACAAAGCTAATAAGAATAATTAGCTGAAACGTAATTAGCCAACTAAATTTAAATGAATATCGATTCATGACTTCTTATGGTGTTAGGTCAACCCGTTTAGACTTTCTAATTTATTGAATATTTTATAAAAATTCACTCTTTCCTATTGATCATTATGTCCCACTGAACGATAAGCAACTGACGGGGTTGATGTTGATGGCAGGTTTTAGCCAGCTGGAGTTTCTTTTAAAACTTACATATGTACAGCTTAAAGCTTCAAGTCTGTCTCTCAGATTAAAGTTTCCAATTTACCTGTCTTTTACCTAATGTGGTCATAAGCTTTTCATACCCATTACGCATAGAGTACAAGGTTATATTGCATTCGTGAAAATGTGTGTCATAAATAATAAACTGCCATATCTATATAAATTTACATATTCATTTTATTATATATTCACGTGCTGCAACACTATTCTATCCGGCTACTATTTATTTAATCTTATGACTTATTCATATTTTACAATCAGCCGTTTTTACAGTCATAAAAGTTTTCCGATTTACTTTTGAATACACATAAATTAGGGCTCCCGTTTTCACATTCCGAAAGATTTATTCGTTTTCAAAACGAAAACATATTCGTTGACGAATTGAAAAGTAAACGGCTTTTTATACAACAAAACGAACCTTAAGTGCAAAATGAAAAAAATAGATGACTTATTGATGCATTATCATAAACTTGACACCTACATATATCAGGGTAATTTAACTTTTGCTTTCTTTCTAAAAAATTTTATTTTAACCCAACCTCAAATTAAGCTCGGAAAAACGGAGCCTGCCTGAATATATCTTTACTTTCACGAAGTACCATCCGGCCCTTATATCTCTCTAACTCACACGTGGCTGAACCCCCCACTGAACAAGAAAAAGAAAGGGAGAGCAAGATCGTGAGGGGGAGTCAGCCACGTGAGCCAAGTGGTAGATATGATGCTGCGTGCTCGGGTTTGTGGATGCCGCACATTTTAGGAATGTAGGCGGCGGAAGGTAACGTGGCAAAAATTTATTTTGCACTTTTTAAATGTTACATTACAGGAGGCTGCACACAAAACCCGGTGGATGTACATAGAGTACATGGCATCCCTGTTGTAGTGACACGTGGCGGTATCGCACTCTTAGGGATGTTCATGAAAGTATGTATGAATACCGTAATTCTGCGCACTTCGCTAGGTTTTAAGTTCAGATTATTCACCAAATAATGATTTTTTATACTTTTAAAATTATTTTTCTTTATTATTCAACGCCGCTTGTTTTTTTTTCGACTTAAAAGCTATAGTTTCTGGTGTCGAATATATGAACGCAAGGCTGGATAAAATATTATCTTGGAACCTAATAACGAAAACTACCAGCGCCCACGACCGTTTCCGCCTGCACCACCGCGTCCTCTGTTAAATCCTCCACCTCCTGCTCCACGCCCAGTTCCTCTAAAGCCACTGGCTCCAAAGCTGTTCCGTGCACCCCGGCCACCTAATTAGAATATAAGTAAATATATTAGATTTAACAACAGAAAATAAAATATTACAAAATATATTTGATATCAATTCATTACCCATTCCGCCTCGATTAAAACCACCCCTTTGAAAACCAGGTCCACCTGTTGCGCCCTTTTTCTTAAGTCCTTTTGGCTGTGGGGGTTTTGGTAAAAACCTTGCGATAGGCAATAGTTTCCCAGGATCAATAAACAAAGTTTGATCAGGTTTAAAACTGTTTGCATAAACATTTTCCGACAACTTAATGGACACGGAGTAATCACGAACTGTGCCAAATATTTCATCGATTTTTCCAATCTGTTCTTTATTTTCGAGAAATATTGGTGCATTGAAATAAGGAACATCCTCTATCGCAACTTTGCAAATTAAATCATTCTGGCATGTATAAACAAAGTTTCCTATGGGAATAACACGTTCTGGCGGACCTATAATTTAATAAATATTACAATATATATATAAAATGTATTTTTTTATAAAATCGGACTAACCATTATCAAATGCTCCACGACCTCCTCCGCGACCACCACCACGGTTGAAGCCACCACCTCCTCTGTTGAAACTTCCTCCAGACTTGAAGCCACCTCCGCCGCCGCTACCACCACCGCCGCGAAATCCTCTTCCGCCGCCACCACCGCGAGGTCGACCAAATGCCATTTCAATAATATAACCCAATTTTTGGAGGATACAAAACAACTACAAACACGTGCGTGCCGTTTGTGCCGAATACTTGGGGATGGTAAATGTACATACTTTTGGGAGTACGATAGCTGAAAAGTATACATTCTACCGTTTTGAGAACGATGGAATCGGAATACATTTACAATCCCGAGATTATAGGCTATTCACACGACCATCCACCATCCATTTTGGGGATGGCCCGAAAGGTTTTGCCGTTCCGAAAATTTCCCAGTTAGTCCACCATCCATTTTGGATGTTCTTAAACCGCAATAAAAATAAATAAACAATATTTTGCAATTGCAGATCGTATCTGTTCTGGTGACTGATTAAAATCACCAGAACTGTTGCTGCTATCGGGCTGTTCGCATATTTTGCTGTTGAAACACGGCCGAAATAACTGCCAAATCATCATCCATTATAAGAAAAAATGTATAAATCTTCCCCCCAAATATAATGTACTTGTTATTGGCATCAGCTGTTTTTGACGGTTTTCACATCTGTCAAAAAATCCCATCATTCCCCCGGGATGGGCTCAGTGTGTCTGTATACATCTAATTATTTTCTCTTCAATCTATTCAGAAATAATGACCTGATATAGAGGAATTATACTTTTTCTGGTCCACGACCAGTTGCATTTCCTATATATTTTGAAACTTTAAATTGAAATAACCGAGATTTTTAAAGTAATTACATTTCGTCCAAATTTTGTTCATCAATTTGTTTAATTGTGTCATCTTTTTTCACCAACTTAAACAACTGACTTGGCTGTTTATAAATAATAAGTGTGTTACGGCAGAAACCGCAGCTCTAAATATCACTGCGCCTAACAGTCCTGAATATCACTGCGCCTAACAGCCCTGAATATCACTGCACTTAACAGCACAAACATTAACAGCGCTGAGCAAAGGGTTAATCAGGGCGAACGGCAGCTATAGGCAAGGGAAAGGAAGAAAAAAAAAGAAAGGCAGCGGAAAAAGCACTAAAGCGGTACAAGTTTTTTAGCGCTAGCTCTCGTAGTTTAACACCCGCCCGACATTGTAAATGAATAAATGAATAAAATAAATGAAACAAATAAAACCGATTTGAAGAACAAAACCACGGGAGGCCTATTGAACACGGGAGGCTTATCAAACGTACGGCCCCAGATTTGGAGGCGTTGCCCGGCGCGGCAATATTCTAAAAAACTTTTCCTGCGCAACGGAGAGCAAATCGAATAATTACGACCGACAGAAAGAAGATCGGCGTGCGACGAAGTCAGCTGCGTCACGAGGGATTCGACTTTGAAGGTGAGATATCCTCATACAGTTGGACAGAAAGGCTAATCTCTTACATTCGAGCGACACGTGGTTCGTGTATAACCACAAACCAGGACTGTACAAAAAAGGCACCGGAATAAAATGGACGGCGTCAAAAGTCAGCAGTCGGAATCTGGCGGTGAGACCCCGTGTGGATTAGGAGAAATAAATGTGCCGGAAAATATGCTTGGTGCGTGTTCTGAGACTGAGGGAGGTGCAAGGGAAACTCATCGCGTTAGGGATACATATATAGATGTGATCTCGGCGGCAACAACGGCCACACCTAACGTGTCCACCACAGCCCCAACGAGCCATCAAGCACCAGAGCATACCAACCAAGGAGGAGGGGTGGATCAAGCCTTTTCACCAAGAACGAGCCTTTTAGATAGCTGGGAAACGTTCGCTCAGCAGAGAGCGGATGCATTAGGAAGGCCGACGTACGCCACGGCCTTCGGGGGAATGCGCTCCATCCCGACGCATTCCAGACTGCCTCAAGCAGGAGGCCTCATGAGCTCCACGGTAATCAACGGAGGCTGGGACAGAGCAGTTCCCAACTGGACCGGAGTCCACATGTCAGGACCCACGGAAGCAACGCGGATTGGAATGCCAACTGGGCTGAATCCGAACGAGACAATGCCAGTCGGCGCTATGTGGCATCCAATGGCCGCACCGGCGCTGGGTACCAACCTGCATGGGCAAAACCCCTTCATTCACGCCCCGACTGCACAGTATTACCCAAGTACGAGTCGAAATATTTCGGACCCGTACGCGTACGGGAGTAATCAAGCGGTCGCGCCAGCGGGGGCGGAGAGATGCTTGACAGCATCCCAGATAGCCGCAAGACAAGTCATCAACAAGGATCTACCATGCTTTTCTGGAAACCCCGATGAATGGCCCATGTTCTTGGTAAACTTCGAGCAATCTACAGAACGCTGCGGACTCAGCGATCAAGAGAATCTCATGAGGCTGCAAAAGTGCCTGAAAGGTGCCGCTTTGGAAGCAGTACGAGGAAAATTAATGATGCCCGCAACAGTTCGACTAGCCATCGAGACTCTTCGAATGCTATATGGCCGACCAGAGGCCATATATCACACCCTACAGACGAAGCTAAGAATGGAGCCGTCCGTGAAATCGAGCAGCATCAAAAGCCTAGTGCGCCTGGCGCTGTCGGTGCAAAATTATCGCGCTACTGTTGACGCAATAGGACTGTCCGCCTATCTGAACGACCCAATGTTACTTCGCGACCTTGTGGAGAAACTCCCATTCGACTTGAAACTGGATTGGGCCAGACAAAGCGCTGGACTTCCGAGGGTAAATATCGCTGTTTTCGACGATTGGCTATTCCGAGTCGCATCGTGCGCAAGCACCGTGATGCCAGTAGCACCCGAGAAAGAAGTCTGCACGAAGGAGAAGAACCCAAGAGTCCGGCTTATGGTGCACAATGATAGCAGCGCACAACCGCCCTGCCGTAGGTGCAATGGGGCCCACAAATTGGAGGACTGTAAGCAGTTCCTGGAGCTAGAAGGGCCAGGTAGATGGAACTTCGTCAGAGAAAATAAGCTATGCTGGAGGTGCCTTGGCAAACACTTTATAAGGCACTGTAAGTCAACAAGAGTATGTTCCGTCGACGGATGCTCGAGAAAGCACCATTTCCTCCTCCACAACAGTAACCAGCAAAGGGTAGAGAATAGGTCGAAGGAAAGCACTACGGTACTGCACACGATGCAGAACGAAGCTGCGTTGTTTAGATACGTCCCCTTAACATTGTATGGACCGAACGGCCAAATGCAAGTGTTCGCACTGATAGACGAAGGATCCGACTGTACCCTAATCGAGACTGAGATAACGGAAAAACTAGGTATCGATGGCCCCTCGGACGAGTTATGCCTACGCTGGACTGGAGACATCACGCAGAGAGAATCTCAATCCAAATGGATAAGCCTAGCGATCTCTCCAAGGGACAATGTGGCTCGCAGATTCATGCTTCAAAACGTGAGAACAGTAAAAAACCTGGATCTGCCGAAGCAGACGCTGGACGACTGGACGCTGCCTAAAATCCCATTCGCACCTGGAAAAGCTACCGATACTCAGCTACAAGGACGTGAGAGCGTCATTGATCTTCGGATTGGACAACGTGGAGTGCCACTGACTGTCAAAGAACGCGAGAATTCCGAATTTATCGCCGCCAAGTCCAGGTTGGGGTGGTCTGTTTATGGCCGCAGAAAGGGCGACGGGCCAGCGAGTCCGCGGGTAATGCACGTATGCGAATGTAATAAACACCCACAGCTGGACACTCTTGTAAAAGAGAGTTTCTCATTAGACGCGGTTGGCATAAACATGGCGAAGAGCACACTCAGGTCCAAATAGGACGAAAGAGCAAAAACAATACTGGAAAATTCCACGAGGTTTAGCAGCGAAATGAAGAGATGGGAGACAGGACTTCTCTGGCGGTACGACAACGTGGAACTTCCTTCTTCCAGAGAGATGGCAATGCGACGACTTCGGTGCCTAGAATCTCGTATGACACGCGATAAGGTGCTACGAGAGTTCGTAAACGAACAGATTAAGAGGTACGAAGACATCGGCTACGTCCGAAAACTCAAAAAAGATGAAATGGTCGAAGGCAAACGCTCCTGGTATCTGCCCGTATTCGTGACCAAGAACCCGAACAAAGGCAAACCAAGACTCGTATGGGATGCAGCAGCCAAAGTGGAAGGCATCGCTCTTAATTCAATACTTCTAAAGGGCCCCGACCAATTGCCATCGCTGGTAGGAGTAATGTCGCGCTTTCGAGAGAAGTCTATTGGCATCTGCGGAGATATCAGAGAAATGTTTCACCAGGTTAGGATACGTTCGGAGGATCAAAGCTCACAGCAGTTTCTCTGGAGATATGGTGACACCAGTCGAGAACCGGATAGGTACGTAATGAGCGTAATGACCTTTGGTGCTTCTTGTTCCCCAGCAGCAGCGACCTACGTGAGAGATAGGAACGCAGAAAGGTTCATCGAGGAACAAAGAGAGGAAGTAGAGCCCATACTTCGCAACACCTTTGTAGATGACTGGCTCCAAAGCTGTGACTCAGAAGACGAAATGGTCCGTCTAGCGCTGGCAGTGAGGAACATACACAAAGAAGGAGGCTTCGAGATGAGAGGATGGATATCTAACTCGAGCACCGTGATGAGAGCGCTCTCAGGAGATGGAGATCATCAAGAACGACCCATCGAGATGACGGACTCGACAAGACGAGAACGAGCGCTTGGCATGTGGTGGCATCCAAGGAATGATTACTTCACCTTCGTCAATAAGTTTCCGAATGACATATACGACGAAACGAAAACTGTGACGAAGCGGTCAATTCTACGTACAGTCATGACCATCTTCGATCCCTTAGGACTATTGGGGTTCTATATTATACAGGCAAAGCTAATACTGCAGGACGTGTGGAGGTCGGCCGTAGGCTGGGATGAACAGGTCGAAGAAAGCGAACGTCAACGTTGGACGATATGGGCACGGCAACTACAGAACATCGAAGAATTAAGGGTTCCACGATATCTCGGTCTAACGAAAGAAACATCTAATATCCAATTACACATCTTTACAGACGCGAGCATAAACGCCTTTGCAGCCGTCGCCTACATAAGGATCGAACAAAGAGGAGAAGTCAGATGCACACTACTCGCATCCAAGACAAGAGTGGCACCATTGAAACCAATCTCGATTCCCAGGATGGAGCTTATGGCAGCGATCCTCGGCCTACGACTAGCTAAACTCATAACACAGGAGCTCTCCGTCGAGGTCAAGCGACGTGTTTTTTGGACCGACTCCAAGAACGTGTTGTATTGGATATGTTCAGACGCCCGAAAGTACCATCAGTTCGTTGCGCTCCGAATTGGAGAGATCTTGGAAACCTCGGACATATCAGAATGGAAATGGGTTCCATCCGCTCTGAACGTAGCAGACGATGGAACGAAGTGGACCAAAGAGTCGAGTTTCCAACCGGAAGCGAGATGGTTCTCCGGTCCGCCGTTCCTATTTGACGAGGAAGAACACTGGCCAACTACACAGCTCAACTCGAGTAATCTGGAACGGATACACGTACACGAATGGACAGATACGCCGAAACCGCCATCAAAGCTGAGTAGCATAATCCCAAATGTATGTCGCTTTAGCAAATGGGAAAAGTTCACGAGAGCCCTGAGATGCGTGATGAGATTTCTGGACAAAATACGCAAAAGAGATTTCGCATCAGAGGAGGCAAATTTAGCCGCACGCTTTCGCAACATGGAAGATGTCAACATCGTTATATACCGGATGGTCCAAGAAGAGGCTTACCCTGAAGAAATGGCTCTTCTACGACAGGGAAGAATCGTGAGTAAGAAAAGTTCGATCTACAAATTATCGCCGTACCTCGATGAAACAGGCGTACTGAGAATACGCGGCCGCATAGATAAGTCGATCGGCATAACGAGGAACCTGAAACGGCCAGTAATTCTACCCGGAGGACATAACGTCACTAATCTTCTCATTGATTATTTCCATCGGAAGTTTCAGCATCAGCTTACTGAGATCGTCGTCAACGAGATGCGACAATTGTACCACATACCAGGACTGCGAGCAAGAGTTCGCGCCGTAGCGAAAACCTGCCAAAGATGTCGCAATAAAAGAGCGCTTCCAGAGGCACCGGAGATGGGAAGCCTACCACCAGAGAGGCTAGCAATCAACGAATTGCCATTCACAAACACAGGTATCGACTACTTCGGACCACTGGAGGTAAACGTAGGAAGACGACGCGAGAAACGATGGGGAGTACTATTCACGTGCCTCACCGTGCGAGCAGTACACATCGAGCTGGCAAACTCCCTGTCAACAGACGCCTTCATGCTAACATTGGAAATGTTCGTAGCCCGTCGAGGAGTCCCCAAGAGAATCGTGTCGGACAACGGGACGAACTTCCGAGGAGCCAGCCGCTTACTACGAGAAGAAATTGAAAGAATTCTACCGAAAGAACTGGAAACCAAGTACCCGCAAATAGAATGGTCCTTCATACCCCCAGGAGCACCCCACATGGGAGGTGCGTGGGAAAGAATGATCAGATCGGTGAAATCCATACTAGCCGAAATATTAGAGGAGACGCACGTACAAGAACCAGTGCTGAGAACAGCACTAGCAAAGATAGAAAATATGCTAAATTCCAGACCCCTGACTTACGTGTCCTTGGAGTGTCCGGAAGCCGACGTACTTACACCGAATCACTTTCTGAGAGCAGAGACCAGCTCGATGGCAGCAAAGAGCGACAGCAGCGCAATAGGAGCTATGCTTGGTAAGAGTTTTCGCATTGCAGGGCAGATCGTGGACAGCTTCAGAAAACGATTGCTGAAGGAGTACCTACCGTGCCTGACGACACGAACCAAATGGCATGGACCCCCAACCAACCCTATCCAACTCGGAGACGTCGTGGTTCTAGCGGACGAAACAAGCCCCAAGGTGCAGTGGAGGAAAGGCGTCATAATGGACCTTCGAGTAGCCAAGGACGGGATCGCCCGAAGCGCGGTGATCCGCACTGCATCTGGACTGCTAACTCGGCCAATAGTTAAACTGGCCAAGTTAGACGTGAGGACAACGAACCCACTAATGGATCAAGGCGTAACCAGAAGTTTGGCAAACATCACGACAAGCGACGAAGTTTGCGAAGGGGGGAATGTTACGGCAGAAACCGCAGCGGCAGCTCTAAATATCACTGCGCCTAACAGTCCTGAATATCACTGCGCCTAACAGCCCTGAATATCACTGCGCTTAACAGCACAAACATTAACAGCGCTGAGCAAAGGGTTAATCAGGGCGAACGGCAGCTATAGGCAAGGGAAAGGAAGAAAAAAAAAGAAAGGCAGCGGAAAAAGCACTGAAGCGGTACAAGTTTTTTACCGCTAGCTCTCGTAGTTTAACACCCGCCCGACATTGTAAATGAATAAATGAATAAAATAAATGAAACAAATAAAACCGATTTGAAGAACAAAACCACGGGAGGCCTATTGAACACGGGAGGCTTATCAAACGTACGGCCCCAGATTTGGAGGCGTTGCCCGGCGCGGCAATAAAGTGTGTTTTTTACAATTGCAAACGCTCACAAAGCGTATTTAATGTACATTTTACATATTCGGTAGAGAGCTGTTCGCGACAAAACGTAAATTGTTCAAAATATAAGGTGGGGTAAAGAAGTTTATTAAAAATATACAAAACAAAATATATATACAAAACAGACATATGCTCTCACTTGCAACTCAGGTTCGTTATGTATAATATAAAAATTAATCGTTGAAAGTGTTGCTATGAGCAAATCTAGAGATCAGCTGAACCGAGTTCGCTAATTCTTTTTCATAGTATTTCTTGATGTGCGAAGATGGTTCAAAGTTCAAAAAATGTCCTGAAAAACAACAACACTTTTCGCTTTGCTGTGCATCTATACTACTAGATCTAAAAGACAAAAATGTCTGTAAACGTCTCTTTACTGTGCACCTATGCATCTTACTTAACCTAAAAGCCACATAGTTCTATAAAATTAAAAAAGTGCTGTGTCTTTGTGACTTACTAAATATGCCTCCTATAAGGCGGCGGACCAATTTAGGCAGAAGAACCCGAAATGCAACGAGTAAAATTAATTATCAATCTAATTGTACTGCCAAGGAAAGTAAAGATTTCAATGAACGTAAATGGCTCATGCTTCGAAGCATAAACCAACCAAAACTGTGCTACAGTACGCGCTTGGTTGTAAGAATATTGATGAACAATCGAAGGATTCCGATGACTTCAATTTCCGATACGTCTTGCATTCGCCATGACTATTAAAAAATCACAAGGTCAATTTTCGAAAGTCTAGAAAATCAATGTTTTTTCACATGGCTTATTATAAGTGACATGTTAACGGGTCGGAAGACCATTAGCGTTGTTTGTTTTTGCGCCTGATAAAAAAACAAAAGTGTTGTGTATTACAATTTTATTTTTTTTTTATTTGTCAGCCGGCCTATAATACATAATAATAACCTATAATATATTATTGTTCCTCATTCCGTCATTCCATATAAACGGTAGTTTAACTCTCATTCATAAACTATATAATATAGTGATGGTGCAGAAGCGATAAGTATAGACCCACTGAGCTGGGCTAAAAACTTTCTCTCAAAATAACTAGAAGATTAACTTTTGCAAGGTGTATGTAAATAAAATTTATAAAATTATATCAAATTTGAGGATCCAAATTAAATGAACGCAACGCAATGTCTTTATAGTGTGTGTGGTATTTCTGACCACACGTTTTAACAAAAGATAGGGAATAGCTATGCAAAACATTATGACGTCATAGTGACAACAATTGTATACTAGCTAGCCAAACAGCAGTAATTAAATAAAAGTGAAACTAAATCTTTTATTATGAGCAACTCTGTATCTACGATTGCGAATTCAATTAGTTACCATTTAAAATTCTTCAAATTTTTAAATTATTTTTAATTAATAGGCGGATAGAGAAACACACATATGTACACTTGACTGTTGGTATGTATGCAAGTAGTACATGCATACAAGCAATGTGAATGATGAATATGAGAACCGTAACATTAATATGCAACTATGTGTGTGTGTATTTCTTTGCTTACATGTTGCTTCTGGTATTGGTACTTTCAGTCATTGACGCTAAAGTATGACACTAGGAGAGAACACGATACAAAGCGAAAACAAAAATCTAAGCGAAGACACAATGACAACAAAAACAAATTATAAACCTGCAGATAACGGGATATCCCTAGATAAAATAAATGGAAACACAAAATACGAAAAGCAGGTAATGTAACATAAATATGTACATATTTAGTCGAAAATTTATTTATACACTACATATACTGTCAACACCGATGAAACTTAAAATAGTAGCTTGTCTTTGTAAGCGCGGAAATGGCGTTTACATATGTACATTCCATTTTTTAACATGGAAACTAGGTGCTATAATGATTTATATATGTATGTATGCATCACTTTATTTAATTTAGCCAATTAAGATCAACAAATTTTGTAATAATAAATTTACGAGTGTCAGAAGCTACGAATTTCAGGTCAAGTCTTAAAATATCTACATTCTTTTTTTTTACTCAATATTAAACATTGTAACCGCGCTCACAGAACGAGAAAATACATCCACAATTTTTAAAATACAACAAAATGGAAAAGTCCTGTAGACACATTGCAGGCGCACTTGTTCGCTTTCACTCTCTTCCCCATCTGTGTCGTAACTGGCGGAGTGAACGAGATATTACGGCCGGATGGTACTTCGGTGCTGGGCAGAGAGATATAACGGAATAGGTGTAAGAGAGAATGGGGCTAATAACAATTCCGGTGTTTACGTATAAAATATATTGTATAAGTTATATAAATCTTAAGATATACGTACTGGTGACGTACTGCTTTATTGACAGAACGACTCAACGATATCATTTTTACGAGCTGCCCGCAGTGGAGATTTAACAAAACTTCTTGATTTTATCGAAAGTGGTGAGATATCGGATATTAACAGTTGCAATGCGGTAAATGATTGAATCTATTAAGATATTTTATAAGTATTGATAACTTTACATACTCTTAGAACGGCCTAAACGCTCTACACCTAGCGGCAAAGGATGGATATGTCGATATTTGCAGTGAGTTGCTGAAGAGAGGCATCAAAGTGGACAACGCAACCAAAAAAGGAAATACAGCCTTGCATATAGCTTCGCTGGCGGGTCAACAACATGTTATTAAGCAACTTATTCAGTCGAATGCAAATGTAAACGTGCAATCGTTAAATGGATTCACACCGCTGTATATGGCAGCTCAGGAGAATCACGACAACTGTTGCAGACTGCTCTTGGCAAAAGGAGCGAACCCGTCGCTGGCCACAGAAGACGGCTTTACACCATTAGCTGTGGCAATGCAGCAAGGTCACGATAAGGTGGTGGCAGTCCTACTGGAAAGTGATGTTCGTGGAAAGGTGCGTCTTCCGGCACTTCACATTGCAGCCAAAAAGAACGACGTAAGCGCAGCCACACTGCTGCTGCAGCATGATCACAATGCCGACATTGTTTCCAAGTCTGGCTTTACGCCTCTGCACATTGCCGCTCATTATGGGAACGTGGACATAGCCACCTTGTTGCTGGACCACGGTGCTGATGTCAACTATATTGCCAAACACAATATATCGCCGTTGCACGTGGCCTGCAAGTGGGGAAAGTCTACAGTTTGCAGGTTATTGTTGTCTCATGGCGCACGCATAGATGGACCCACACGAGACGGCCTGACACCGCTACACTGTGCCTCACGATCAGGCCATGTTGAGGTTATTGAGCTCCTGCTACGTCACAATGCTCCAATACTATCGAAGACAAAGAATGGATTGTCGGCCTTACATATGTCCGCACAGGGCGAACACGATGAGGCGGCGCGTCTACTTTTAGAACATAAGGCTCCAGTAGACGAGGTAACCGTTGATTATTTGACAGCGCTCCATGTGGCCGCACACTGTGGCCATGTGAGGGTGGCCAAACTTCTGCTTGACTACGGTGCAAATCCAAACTCACGTGCCCTCAACGGTTTCACTCCCCTTCATATTGCCTGTAAGAAGAATCGCATCAAAGTAGCTGAATTACTCATCAAGCATGGAGCTACCATTAGTGCAACCACGGAATCTGGCCTTACACCATTGCACGTGGCTAGTTTTATGGGTAGGTACATAGACAAGTTCAAAGGTTTGAGTTTAACAGCAAGCATTTACTTATTAGCGACGATTCAGTTAAATCCAGCATACGTATATATCAATTATATGTATATCAAATCTAGTCGATATTCATCACTTCCTCAAATTTGGCTATTTGCAGGTTGCATGAACATTGTTATTTACTTGCTGCAGCACGACGCTAGCCCAGATATACCAACAGTACGCGGAGAGACACCATTGCATTTAGCAGCGCGTGCCAATCAAGTAATATGTGCTATCTTGCTATGTGGATTATATTTATTATTACCTATAAATAATTTCAGACGGACATAATTCGAATTTTGCTTCGCAACGGAGCGCAGGTTGATGCAGTCGCTCGGGAAGGACAAACACCACTACATGTGGCTTCCCGATTGGGCAATATTGATATAATTATGCTGATGTTGCAGCATGGAGCCGAGATAAATGCTAAAACTAAGGATAAGTACACGGCGCTTCACATTGCGGCGAAGGAAGGTCAGGAGGAAGTCAGCTTAGCGTTGCTCGAGAGCGGCGCACGACTAGATGAGGTCACACAAAAGGGTTTCACTCCATTGCATTTAGCAAGCAAATACGGACATCAAAAGGTGGTGGCTCTATTGCTTGAGAAGGGTGCTTCCATTGATTGTCAGGGCAAGAACGATGTGACTCCATTGCACGTAGCGTCACACTATGACCATCAGCCAGTAGTGATGGTACTTCTGGAGAACGGTGCATCCCCAAAAATATGCGCCCGCAACGGACACAGTGCCGTGCATATTGTTGCAAAAAAGAACAACGTAGAAATGGCGCAGCACCTTATACAGCATGGTGCTGATGTCGGTGCCATCAGCAAATCTGGCTTTTCCCCATTGCATCTAGCTGCCCAAGAGGGGCATTTGCCTATGGTTGAACTTTTGCTAGAAAATGGTGCCACGAGTGCTGCTGCTAAGAATGGCCTAACCCCATTGCATTTAGCTTCCCAAGAAGGCCACGTCCCTGTCGCGCAGATTCTATTGGAAAACGGTGCAAGCATTTCAGAGCGCACCAAAAATGGCTACACGCCGCTTCACATTGCCGCCCACTACGGACAAATTAATCTCGTAAAATATCTCCTTGAAAATGATGCTGACATTGAAATGTCAACCAACATTGGCTATACACCACTGCATCAGGCTGCCCAGCAGGGTCATATAATGATCATTAGTCTCTTGTTGCGCCACAAGGCGAATCCAGATGCTTTAACAAACGTGAGTTTTACTGATTATCAATATATAATAATTTTTGCCATGAGTTATCTAGTCATGTCTCAGCAATGATCGGTCACTCCGCACGATCACTCCCTGGCAAAAAGCGGCTATGCATCTACATATTTAATTACGCTGCCTTTTTTCTACTTAGCCTTAGATTGAAACCCCACCATCTCAACATAAAAAATGGTTTTTAGTTTTTAGAAATATTCTCGAGGAATATGAAAAATTGAAACAATCTATTTTCGCAACAGTTTTAGCAGACTCAATCGTTTCTTAAGTAACCGTGGCTGTATTGGCTGATCTCCATCTCTTCGCATCAATTGACAAGATTTTGATTTGACGATTTTGTCAAAAAAGAGCGTGAGAGAAAGAGACAGAAGATGAGTAAGCGGCGAGGACGGCGTGTCGTAGTCGCTGAAAATGGATTTCTTCCTTCTGGCTATAATAATATTCCAATCGGATATGCTAGATATACGCCTAGTTCTCTGAGACTATTAGAGCTACAGCATCGAAATGTAGCAGCAGCAAATGTTGTATGCAAACTCCTATGATATCACACTGAATCGAGTTTGTTTCAATTTTTTGCCACGCTCTCTTCCGCCTTCACAAAGGACGAAAATCTGCGGCATCCACAATATTGATGATACGAAAAAACCAAACACGCAGAATCAGAGAGGATGGTCATCCGCACGCCGCTCTCACCCCGGAACCTTTTCTTTAGTAATCACTCTATCCGTATCACCTAAACCTAAATAACTGTTCTTCCTCTCTAGCTCCCTAAACTTTCAGAGCAGTAGATTTCTCTAGCTTTTGCTAGAACTTCTCTCCTTTGAGAGGCTCTTGGATAGCGTAGTGCAAGCAAAATGCGCTGGGCTTTATCGAAACGTAATGGTTTGCAACACAATTGTGAGGCATGCCGTGTGGTTTAGAATGACACGGTCATATTTATTATTATATTATAAGCCGAATTCATTACATCAGAGAGGATGCAGCCATCCTAAAAAAATGTATTAAAACGGCAGGTCGACCTGTGTCTTTCGAACTTTATACTTCTGGAGCTCTTTTGAACCGTTGAATGATGCGCTGCATGGAATTATTTGTAATTTCCAAAGGGGGGTTAGGGTTAGAAAAATACAGAATGATTTTACACTGAGATTATTTGGTGCTAAAACATTTGCTAAGACAAAGAGTTTTGTAAATAAATGTTTACCAAAGGCATAACGTGTAGCATAGCACTGACCGAACGGTTCTATTTTTAAACATGTTATTTTAGTTTTTCCGGTACGTATACATGAATGCTTATGAGTATATATGGATGTACCTATACATATGTTTTCCTAATAGAATCTACATGGAATTGTGCAAATGCACGGATAATTCCACTGGTTAGCTTCTTTACCGACTCTCGGCCTCTCTGGCATCTTGTAATTTTTTCGGTTATCCACATTTTGTGTATTATACTTGTGATAATCTGAGTCGATTGTGTAAAAAACAAGAATAACATTTGGGTGTGGTTCCATATAGTTTTGATAACTTTATATTTTGTATATTTATGTATATACTGGCAGAAGCCATATTAAATCCAATAGCTGTCGCTCAGAAACTTTTTTTCACAATAAAATGTTTCAGTATTTTTGCGGTTTTTGGTTTTAAATTAAATTATTATCCATAAATAATTTAGGGTATACCATTATGCAGAGCATAGAGTAAAACGTAAAGTATGTAAATACATTATTATCATCAATAGGCGTGTCGATTTAAAGTCAATTCCATCGGTCAGACCGTTAATATGAGCACCCATATTTTTTTTAGGATATAAAAGAGAATTACCAAATTTCATTTTCAAATTTCTTAGAATGTTTTGTTTCCTATGCTCACCACTCTCGTTAAAACGTAAAACTCTTTGACGGAATTGACATTACCAAAATATATGTACTTATTTCAATGAATGATAATTAGATACAGCACTAAACTATTTCAGAATGGTAAAACAGCTCTAAATATTGCGAGCAACTTGGGCTACGTTACAGCAGTGGAAACACTTAAGGTCGTCACCCAAACATCTATCACCAATATGAGCATTGGAATGGTGGGAGAAAAATACAAGGTTGTGTCACCGGAGCTTATGCATGAAACGCTACTCTCTGATTCCGAAGACGAAGGCGGGGACGAGCTTTTAGACCATAATCAATACAAATATATGGCTACCGATGATTTGAAAGCAAACTATGGCCATGATCACGACCACCAAAACTTCGACACCACAAATCCTGAAAATGATCAAATGGATATATCTGTTGGACATCCTCTCGAAAA